GAACCTGCTCTTGACATGACCTGTGCAAACCCTTCACAGACAGAAATGCAGCAAGGGCAGGGTATCACTACCTACTTCAAGAACTTGAAATGACTTTTGACTTTTCTTGGTAAACTGTCTCTTTTTTGTAGAGATGAGTGTTTATCTGCATCATGGTGTAAATAATCTATGCTGCTCCTTCACTTGAATCAGAAATTCACATTTATGTATCAACACACTGACGCAGCACAGCTGACCTAGGAAGCCTACCCACAGTGTGGATTCTGAGCGGTTTCTGCAGAGGAAATCTACCCCAGGGACTCCTCGGAGCAGCATAAAGCTGACATCACAGTCTTAGGCAGGACTCAAATACTGCAGGGGGCTTGTGAAGTCCTTCTGCTCCAGAGAGAATTTTAGCTAGGGGGTAACACCAGAGTATCAACCAGGTCAGTAAGTACCAATCAAGAATTGCAAAACACACGTGCCATCTCAGAAACACTGTATGCTAAACGAAGCTGAAGATGCTTCGTTACAGATACCAGCCTCAAGCTGTTTTCACGACTGACAGAAGTTCACAACAGGGATGAAGAGGTTACCTGCTTTAAGGAGTTCAGTAGAACATAGCGTCATACCACTTCTGGATCCAAGGAAAACCAGCAATCCATTTAAAATATTTCAATTTCACCCAGTCGATACTTCATTCCATTAATCAGATGACTTTTTCTGTCTTGCTTTAGTTTCCCTTTCTACACTCTCCTCGTACGTGAAACACAAAACCAAAGTGAGAAATCTGGGCTCCCTGATTGCAGTATTTAAATTAAATGCACCCGCCTGCAGGCTTTTTATCAACGGAACTGGACGCAAGTTTTGCAACAAGCATTGGAGATCTCAGAAAGGGATCCAGGGGTACAGACTAGGCACGAAACACAGCAAGAGTTTGCTCCATAACAACAGAAATGAAAATTACAACTCATCAGATGCCTTTGCTGGAACATCAGGATAAAGCCTGCAGATAAACACAAACTGCCACAGGGCAGCCCTCTACAACTGTTCTCAGGGAAACAGAATTCTGGTCCAAGAAATAAGCAATTGCCTTTACAATAAGGAAACTTCGTAATGAAAGAGTCTCCATGAGGGCATCAGCGACAGCTTCACAGGTTTCTGGCCATTCCTGTGTTGAACGCAAGGCCTCAGTCCCAGGGGTAACACATTTGTGTAATCATTCATCAAAATATGATTAGGGTAAGATTTTCAAATATACTTTTAGGATCGGTTTACCTTTATTTCTACAAGCCATAGCAGTCACGCACAAGCACACCCAGTTATTTACTCGTACGTCTCCCTGTAGCAACTTGCCACCACACCAAATCCGTCTGTTAGATTTCCAAAGCAGCCCCTACAGATTAATCACAACTACCGTCTTTCCAACCATCTCGCCAGCGCTCATCCACACGAGAGCAGTCAAATTCAGATTTCCCCAGTTTCCTGTTCACTTCGTTATGAAGAAGACACAACCACTGGGAGAAGTTGTTTCTGTTGCTCGTATCAGGCTGGTTTGTACGTAATCTGCAAACGGGGAAGAGAAAACACATGCTACTTCTTCACAGTCACCAACTCCAGTAGCCAAAGCAGGCAGACAGCACACAGACAGCCAGGGTCACCTTTTCTGCTACTGCAAGATGAGACCCAAGAGACCCCAGGAGAGAGCACACAGAGATCTGTAATTATCAGAGGCCAAACCTTCACTATAAAATACTGGTGGCTTCAACTGGCTTGGTTCCATTCAGTGCCTAGTTCTGTCAACCGGAAACGACACAGGACTCACACAACTTGTCTATACTAAAAAGCAAGAAGTACTTGAGCTCACGAAAACACCAAATTAAAAAAAAACCTAGAATAATAAATCCAAAATGCTGAGCAGTTGTTTGCCACATGATGCCTGCTGAGGCAGTGATTAGGTTTCAAAGGGTTTTTTTGTGTGTTCATCATCAAGAAGAGTTGAAACTTTCGGGAAACAAGTTGACACTAACAGGAGTAGCAGACTTTATCAAATATCACAGCCCATTTCAGTCTTTGCCAGAGGCTGGCAGTAAAGGGGATTTTCTGGGGTAGAAGAACATTGAAAGCCTAAAAGCCAAGTTATTTCAAGTCCCAGTCTAATTCCACAACTGAGCACAAATCCAGTTTGAACCAGAATATCCCAAACTCGCCTCAGGGAAGCCTTGGAGGCAGCACACAACCTAACAGCATGAGAAAGGTATTTGTTTTCTGAGTAAGCGTATCTGATTTATGCAATAATGCAAGGAAACAACTTCAGGAAGAACGGATATGCAAATAGCTGTTGCTGCCCAGCATTCCAGGTTAGCCTCTTTAGCAGCTGCCACCAAAAAAACCCCGATGAAACAGCTCACCTTTCCCTCAGATCCTCAGCGCAGTGCTCGCAGGGGTAAAACTTGGAGAAGAGGTTGATGAACTCCCTCATTTCCTTCTGCTGGGCACCGGTGGGGTGGTCGGGGTAGTAAGCCGCCATGGTGTGCAGGAACGCCCAGGTGTTGCGGCCCAGCTGCTCGCTGTCGAGGGGACAGTTTGGCGGTGGCTCTTTCTCCTCCGCCAGCGTCGGGTCCTGGAGCAGGAAAGATGGTTGTGAGGGGACACTGGTGCTTAGTGGAGAAATAGCCCCTCAGTGATGGGGTGGGAGAAGGAGAGGGGGAAATAGGGCTTCACACCCTCTGTGGGGGATGACAGCGCTCCCCTTCACAGCCGGTGGGGAGGGATGGAGGCCCCCTTCCCACTCCCACAGAGGGGAAACCCTACCCCCGGCCCCTTCAGACCCCGCAGAGGGGGACACACAG